CATGGGCGCACGAACGGAGCGATGCTCGGACGCGACCCGAACGGCTTCCTTCGCCGATCGCTCCCCACGTCTTCCCCTGCCGCCTTCATTCGGACTCGGTGGACCCAGGCGACGTCGGCGGAGGAAGTGGTCTCGGGGCCCAGGACGTTCGGTTTCTGACTCGACTGGGTTTCGGTGGAGTGTCGAGACGGAGAAGGAACGGGACATTTCCGGTCAACTGCGCGGTGTTTCGAAACCCGTAGGAAGGGTAGGAGCATCCGGATTCCGCCGTGGCAGATCACCACCCCGGAATGCTCCGTGTTTGGGGGACGCCGCATGCTCGACTGCCAAGGATGCAGATGAGACTCAGTCTGAGCGAACCGTGCACTACACATACATCTCACTGCAGAAGGCGGAAGAAGACGGCACCGATGTCCCGACCCGACCCGATCGATGCGGATGTCGAGAGCCTCTGGGGGGCCGAGCATGTAGCCGCGCCTTCGTAGCCCGTTGGCCGCTCATGTAGCGATTGGGTCTTGGTACCGGAAGCTCTGTCGGTCAGGGTGTGTCTTCGGCGCGTTTTCCGCGTCTGCGCGGTTCGGGTCATTCGGAAGATGGTGAAAGAATGTGACATGTCCGCGGCGGGCGACAGGCGAGCTTGGATTCGTCGCTTGGCAGATCTTGGCGGGACCTGTTGAAGTTTTGACTTCTGGCTCGACAGTTGGAGTCGAACTCTTTTCTTGGGACGTCGATGGACCTAAGGCCCAAAGCAGATCAGGCGAGCCGAGCTATGACGAGCCGAGCCGAGCTCGTTCGAAGCCCTTCGGAACCATCGCTCACCAAACGCTTCCGAACCCAACGAGCCGCGCATAGCCGTTGGGCTTGGAACGTCGCATCGGACGACGTGTTCCGCGGCGGTCCGATGCGGTCGAGTGGAGGCGGAGGAGCGTCCGTCGTGGTCAGCACATGTGATCGGCTGCTCGGTTGCAGGGACGTTGGGGAGAGTGCCTCACATGTGATCACCTGAAAGCTCGGTTTTATATTGTAGACGTATATACATATCGATGTTTATTTGTTGGCTAAAATTCTGGAATATCTACAGTAGATGCGTCCAATCTGGTTTTCGCCCCTGTTCTTTGACCGGAACTCGGTACCACTCCTAGCCGATGGCCTTAGCGCGAGCCACATGACGGTTGCCGCGACGGGTTGCCTCTCTGCCAGAAGACGGTTGGCTGGAAAACGAAGACCCGATTCTGCTTTCACAGACATGGAGGATGCCTTTCTTCTTTGTTTTTCTTCCTGGAAGCACTGATCCAACCGAATGTGCCCACCAGATCGTCTGGACAGACGGCCATAATCCCAACGGCCATAATCAGGCCAGAAGTTGGAACACTACGGTCAGCACGGGAGCTTGGCAGTGACCCAGCTCTCTCGAGCTGGGACGAGAGCTGTGTTGGACACGACGAGTCAAGCTGAGAAGCGAAGCGAAGCTGAGACACTCCGAGTTTGGTTTCTTTTTTTCTTCGTGGCAAATCGATGGGATGGCTGGTCAACTTCCACTTGAGAGAACACACAGCTTCTTTCTTTTTTTTGGGCCAAAACCAGCCAGAGCAAAGGAGAGCCAGGCTCCCTGCTCTCATTGCCACCAAGCGCACGTCAGACAATACGACGTTTCTTCTCTTGTTTTCCCAAGATGATTTGACTTGCATTGGGATGGAGTTGCCAAGTGTTCCCGATGTTCACCAACAAGCGCGACAAGTGACTTTTCTAGATAAAGACCCTTGAAAAGAACATGAACTTCACCATCATCCACTGCAATTGTGGAAAAAGGACACCCATGGAAAACACTGAATCCTTCAGATCATCGCTTCGCACCGCGGGGAAACCTCGACTCCGCCGGAACATTCACAACAACAGCGAACCCGAGTGATGGGCTTGGGGAACCGGGCGACATCGGCTCAGCCCAGGTGTTTCATCCTACATGAAGTTTTTGGTGCAGGTCCCACCGGAGAGAAGAGGCGGGGCGGCACCCGCGGCACCCACTCCGGGCTCCGGGCCCGTGGAGTCGAAGAAACGGAGCCGATGGACGGACGGCGGAGGACGGAGCTCTGGACATCGGATGGCTGGACAGCGGAGTCGTGGAATTCCCCTTTCGTTGGCAGATCAATGGATATCAGGTCGGATGGCTAGAGGTGATACCCTGATACACTCCCGATCTCCAATCCAATGGTCCGCCCAGTTGACCTTCCAGGTCCGATGGCGCACCACGCGATGGGCTGAGAGAACAGACGGATCTCACGATCGCCACCATCAACCGCCGAACGCCGTGGCGGCCGAACGCTCGCCGTGGTGGTGGATGTACTTGCATGTGTTCAGTTCAGTTGAACAAGGCTTCGACGAACCATTTATAGCATCTGTGGGAACTTTGCAGAGCCCAGACCCAAAGACACTGGAAGATCGGTTTGCTTCTTCGCGTGCTGTCTCTGTGCAGCGCATCCTGTGGCGTGAATGCCGAGGTCCGAGCCTATCGGATCAAGACCCCGAGGGCCATACTGCTCGGATGCCCCGATTGCGACGAAGGGACCCGCGGTGATTGAAGACGAAGAGATGCATTTTTCCCGTAGATCGGAAAAAAGGGGTGAGACCCAGGAGGAAGTTCTTGGGTGTTCCTTAGTTCAAAGAGCATGATTTGTCCACTATGAAGATATGTGAGGATGATAAGATTTGCCTTGCATAAGATCTGACTCTGCTGAATCGGTTGCACAGACCTTTGAGAAGGCGACTTGAATGATCCTTCCCAAAGAAACTGGATGTTTGAGAAGGCGAATAGAATGATTGCATGATTCTTCCCAAGCCAGAATGGGCCTGTTCTCGAATCCCAAAGAAATTGGGCTGAGGATTGTGTGATTTGCTTGAGTGAGCCTCGCGATACTGCTGTGCTGCCTTGCCGGCACATGTGCCTGGAAGCCCAACGGTAGCCATCAGCCAATCGTTGGAGTCTTTGGCTAACCCGGATGTTGAGCACTGCACCACAATTCTTGATGAGAGGTATTTCGGAATTTCTTCATAGCTTTCCTGCTATTGATTCAATGAGTTGTTGGCTTTGGAGATCTTGCTTTATGATTTGGATCGTTGGCAAGAGGGTGCCAACTTCTAGAGTGCTTTCGCCATCGCAAAGACTTGCAAGAACCAGTTTGAGCATTCAACCAAGCCATTGTGCCCACCCATGAAAGGCAAAGCAGCTTTCTTGCAACCTACCTGAAGGCAAAAGTGGATGACTTTTAAGAACAAGGGTTTCGCAGAAGATGCCTTGCAATAATCATGCTCACAGGAAACATGGCGCAGGAAACAGCAATCTGAAACGTCATGACGGTGTGAATGCAAAACTCTTCTCAATCGAGTTTCACTTCCGGGTTGACCCGTGCACTTGTCATGTGTGTTAATTTCTAATCCTTGGCTTCCACCTTTTGCTGAGGCTTTTGCAGCTACTGTGCAGGCATTGTCAGGAGCGGATGGTTTTGGCTGCAAGCATATATATATATATATATGTGTGACACAGGAAGTCCTAGACATGTCAGAAACTCTCATTGCCAACTGGCTGCCACCTGCCACGTGTCAAGGAAGAAACACTTGCCTTGGGTTGCCCACTGGTTTTCCGTGTTTCAAGAACCACGTCTTGCTGATTGTGCCAACTTGATGGTTTCATACACAAACCAATGCTATCAATGGACCAGCCCCGCCGGCATTGCAGAGCTTAAAAGCTCCCATCGCCAGTCGAGCGGCGGTCCTCGGTCGTTCGGGGGGCAGGCTTCAATGCGATCGATGTCCCGTTTGCCGACAAAAAGTGCAGAGCTTGCTCCAGTTCAAGCGGGAGGCACGTTGGAGATCAGTAGATCCCTGTGGACGAGGGTCATTAGATTGCTTAGCATTATATAGTTTGGATCTACTAATTAGTTTTTTTTTTTTTTTTAGAATTTATGTTTTTAACCGGGCAAGAAGCTACGAACAGGGCTCCTGGCCAAACTACGAACGGAGCGATCGGAGGCTACTAGGGGCTCCTGGCCGTACTACTAGGAGCAAGGACGCTACTAGGAGCCAAAAGGAGACAAGGTCCTTGTCGATAGGTAGTTCCAGTTCTCTAATGGGTGGCTCACTTGGAGTTTGGAACGAGACCTGCGCGCAGGATGCACCGCTTGGCAGGTCTCTCTTCACTTGTTTTCTGAAGGTGTTTCCAGACTCAATCAGTGCTTCCTCGATGCTTTCTTCCAGGAACTGCAAGTCGGTGAAGCGCTTCCGAACCGGGAGGTGCTGGGCATATCCACACTCGAGCGCGAATCACTCGAGCAGCGCGAATCACTTTCTGCATTTTGGGGAACTGGAGGACTCGCTCGAATGTGCAGGGAACTAGAGGAATTCATAGAAATTGAGTGGGTTCCATCATTGGATTCTGGCTCAGATTTGATGGGAGCTCTTTTCAAGTTGAATGGAGTTGAGATGACAGGCTTAAGCTCACACCTCGAAAAAAGAAAAGGCAGTTGGTGTATGTTTTGCCCTTTGTTTTTCTTTTATATATACTGTTATATAGCTGTTTCTCTCTGTCTTTCTCTCTATTGCCCTCTCTTTCACAAGACTTGCATTCTTCTGAACTGGTTCACAAACAGGTATGGCAGGTGCAAAGGTTCCAGACTGTTCTCTCGGCGGCTTGTTTTCTTGCTCATTCCCTCAGAGCTGAGAGGCAAGCTGCATGGGCCGGCGCTGATTTCGCCTTTGGAGAAAAGTGAGTTGGCGCCCTCCTTCAGGAAGACACTGGCACCAGAACTGCTAAAGTAGCACCATGAAGTGCTTATCAAGGAGAACAGTTTTTTAACAATTGCCCCTCACGCCGTTTTCTTCTTGCCACGTTCGCCGTTCCGCTCTTCCGTTTGATGACCTGTTCGTTCGTTCGTTCCTTGCCCTCGTGTCGGGATGATCTGAAACATGTCCCCGGCGACCTGTTACATCGCCAGCAGCGCGCGCTCCAGGTGGTTGGTGCCTCCTACAAGCGGCACTACCTTTTCCTTTTAGAACCCCACGAGGCGAAGCTGGTCCTCCGTCGGCCGAACGCGGGAACGTCGCGGTGGACGGTGGATGGAGGTTTCCACCGGCCACCCATGGAGGTTTGCATCTCTTCTGCCTGGCGGGGGCATATTCATCAAGAGCCTACCATTTTTTTTTTAAATGAAGTGTGTTTATTGTTTTAAACATACTTTTCGGGGTGGAACTAGAATTGAACCACTTTGAGACGTCTGATGTTGAGATGCCAGCATGCACATGCATGCATGCGAGCGGTAGAGCCGGTGTTGGGCTTCACGTCCAGCGCCACAAAATCTGAACAAGACTCAACAAGACATGCCATGGACGCCGGACGCGTTTGGTTTTCGTTCATGCCAACGTCTACTTACATCTTGAAAACAGCCTGTCACAGATAGCCTGTGCAAGATGGCGATGATCAAGCAAAGGCATTTTAACAAGTGTGCGTGAATTTGTATATAGTTTTACAATCCGTTGCACATGGTCAGCGACTGTCAGTGCAAGCCTGCGAATGTTCGCAAACAATTCCGACTCGGTCGGCAGCCTCGCACTCATCGTCTCAGGGTACAGCTTTTCTTTCGCTTTCTCCAGAACGTCTATGCAAGGAGAACGGTCGACGGGGACGGGACCGGGGTGGGACATGGTCATCCATCCGCGACTCCTCAGTTCTGCTTCTGAAGTTTTGGGGTCTCACTCCTGGTGCTGCAATCGAAAAAAGAACAACGAAGCATCAGGAAAGTCCACCGAACTCAACGAAGCATGTGTTCTTTTGACCGTCAATCCCTGCTGCTCCTGTACTCATCACAAAAAGCAGGATGAGGCCTTCAGAAATCACGTGTTCAGTCCACTTCCACCCACCCGACACTTCTCACCTTCACCGTTTCACGATACAAACGGACTGGTTGACGACGTTTGAGACCCGACAGGGCCCGAGAGGGCCACAGAGCCGGACTGGGTCTCCCCGACGGTTTGCGACTCCCTTCGCCCCTTCGCCTCTCCCAGATCCGTGGGCGCGATCTTTGGACGGAGGCCGAGTCGTGGCGTTGGGGTGGGAGCGGGGTGTGTGTGAGCGGGGTTGGGGGTTCTCGGTGGTTTTGGGTTTCAAGCACCAAGTGCGGCTAGCCCCAGAAATTTTCAGGGACAACCGAGGCATTGGCTTTGCAAGCGGTTTTGGTGATTTCATGACAGAGATATAAAACCCCTTGGAGACTTTTATTGAATTTCACTTCATAAGTATTTACGTTCAACAGCGACCAAGTTCTCAGCAACTCCATGTGAATAACAGCGCAAACCGACAATCAATGATTGGTGGGGTGTGGAGAACCCGCATCAAGAACACGAGAGTCACTGAAATTCTCTTTTTGTGACCTATACCTCATGAGCTCTTTGTGACGATCGTATTTCTTGGCCCGAACAGATGGTTCAGATCTGTAGATGCTGTCAAGGTGGTGCCCTCTTCCAAAGGAATGTACGACACATTGGGTCCAGGAGAATCGCTTGCAGGCCATCCCCAGAGTTCACGCTTCCACTCTTCCTCCTCTTCCTCCGCAGTTTGAGGCGGTGGCAGGCACTTGGCCCATCACTGAGTTCGAGAAGATTGGAGAGGCCGCGGCAAGCCACCGCGGATCTGGAACCGACTGGAGCCACGAAACGGATGGAGTGGATCGTCCCAAGCTGCCGAGGGCACTCGGTCCGTGGCCGAGTTTGGTATTTTTTCAACGCCGGCAGGCAGCTCTCTTAGCGAGTTCTGCGAAGCATAGCAGTCGGGCAGCTCAGGACGTCAGAGTCAGGAAAGGGGAGAATGGTTCGTGCGGTTTTTACGAAAGATGACCTTTGGGATGCCACGATGATGAGCGAGTCTAGCCACGTGATGCAAGATTAATGCCGTCGCCAATGTTTGTGGATCGCCATGGTGGATGCTTTTCCACCGTCCTGTTCGCTCCGCGACCTAGTTCGCTCCGTCTGCCAGCCAGCGCTGCCAGGTGAGCACCAAATGGTTGTGGACTATATTTGCAGGCTCGATCTGGGCTTACAGTAGACTTTATAGTCTAGACGTGGCTGGAAAAGGATAGACGGACAGATCTCAGGTTGCAATGACAACTTTAACAACTCAACCCAATCTACTTGACTTGCTTTGCAATCTGGTCACAGACCATGCTACAATTCTTTACAAGGATTGCCTTGACATGGCTTGAAAAAAGAACCCGGCTTGCCACCCTGTCAGGTTTGGAGGTAGAACATTCAAACCCAACAGCTTGCAGAGAATGAGAACATTCAAAGATGGGGACGGCTGGCAGGCTTAAATGCCTGGGACATTGCCCGCAAGTCACAGCCCAACTTGCAGGCTCCTCTATGATATCGCTAGCCATGTGAAGGCGGGTGGTTCCCCGTTGCTTGCGGGACGTGTTTCCTGCTTGGGCAGCTGCAGCCTTTGGGAGCCGACAACACCCCACCCTCGCACCACAGGGCACCCACGAAGCACCGCCGGAACAGTACGGACATCAGGTGTGTGACACGCACATCCTCAAGCTGAAGCACTTGGTTCACATCAAGCAGTCGTGAGCCGTTCGAAGTCGAAACTCGACGTCCAGCGGCTGTGGGCATCTGGGGGGAGGTTCAGCGGAAAATGGGTCTTGCGTCATCGGTGGCATGTAACAAGATTTGAGGTTCAATGAAGGTTATATGGGTGTGCATGGGTGTGTATGGGTGTAGGGAGGTGCAGAAGTGCAGCTAGGGAGGTGTATGAGTGAATGAGGCTCCATAGTTCACTTTTCTTTTTTTTCTAATTCTTCCCACCAAGGCCTTTTGGTTGGCTGGTTTTTACATTTTACATGTTTCACTCGACATAAATCAGTTTATCGCGTTCGATCTTCTCCAGGTACCATGCCATTGCAAAAGAGGCCGAGCTTTCCTTCGTCTCGGTCGCGGAGCGCTAGCGCTGGGATTTTCCGCCCGTTCGACGAGGCGGCCGGATGTTCGTCCCAACAAGCGGAAGTTGCTTCGAAAGCATCTTCCACCGCCACCAGTTGATCCGGCCTTCTGGTACCTGCACCAACTCCTTGTAACTTGACCCCCCATGGTCTCGCCGCCCTTGCCCGACGCCCGGCGACGGCCCGGCGACGTCCGTACGCACCGCGGTGCGCGGTTACACCGGTGCCGACCGGTGCGACGACCGGCTCCCAAGGGCACCGGCGCGGATCCTTGGAACCTGGCGACCTTCTTCTGCGAGCACATGTCGGGCATCCCGGTTTGGCGTGGTTCGACAGCGCGAGGTGGCGTGGTTCGGGTCGACCGGGTCGACACCCGAGAGACGTGGGGTTGGTTGGAGTCTGAGGTGGCAGAGGTGGTTGTGTCGTGGACTGGAGGTGTCGAGTCGTTTTGTGTTGGAGCAAACCATCTCAGCTGAAAGATCTGAAAGGCCTCCGGTTTTCAAGGGACCCAAAGAGATCATCTTAAACAAAGGGCAAACAGCCCATTTCTTTCGGAGGAATGATTACTTTCTCCATCTTTCTCCTCACAGAACACCACTGGCCCTACCGCCCGGAGCCGCGGGCGATTCTCGCCCCTGGTGATGTCCCCCGCGTCCCGCCGCGGACGCCGACGCCAGGTCGCCCACGCCGGCCGTGTGTGGCTTGCCGCCCCACGCCGCGCAGAAGTTCATCGACGCGGCCGACGCTCGGCCGTTGGCGTGACGCCACGGGGCGTTTGGTGCGCGTGGGCGTGCGGAGGAAAGGGGACGGATGATCCTTGTCGGTTCCCCAGCGCCGCACGCGAAGGGGTGTTGCGGTGTTGAGTATTTCAGGAGATCAGACCTGACGGCCTTTACTGCTTTCTGTTGCCGATGCTTGTCTTTTTTTTTAATCTTCAGCAAATCATTTCGGGGCTTTCTTCCACAATTCCGGCTCATTACCAAACCTCTGTATATCAGCTTTGGTGCACATTGATTCTCCTCGAATTCCAACATATTTCCAACTGCATTTCAAGTATCTGATAACTTTTGAGAGCTTTGGACTCTTGGCCATTTTCAAGCCTTTGGGCTGCTATTTTTAACATGCAGACTTGTAAAGGCAAACACATACAGGGAGAATCTGAACACCTCTCTCAAACAGCTGGAAGGTTTTGGGTGCTCAGCCAATCCTGGGCAGCTGTATGCTTTTCCTTTCTCTTGAGGACTTTGAAGATCTAAACACACCAAGCTACTTTCTCACTTGGTGTTTGTTTCGATGTTCTTTCCCACATCTCTGAGGAGCCTTGGGACCGCGGCTTCTATGTAGCATGCTCAGTGGCAAAGGAAAGCGAACGTTTCTTTTTGCACGTGAACGCCTCCTAAAGGAAGATAGCTAGAAGCGAAGACGGTAGATGTTTATGGATGTAGGATACCCCCTGGCTAATTGAGGAGGTGTCTTACAACCCGTTTTGGGTCGGGTTCTGCATGATATTTCCAGCAGCTCTGGTTGGGAGTCTACATACTGTACTCAGACCGAAACTGTTTGCTCTTGGGAGAAAAGAACCGGCCCCGCTTCCATGTTTTCAATCCATTTTGCCATGCATGGGTCATGGTTCCAAGCTACAAACACGTGTTCTTCACCGAGCTGTGCCAATTTCTACTGCATTTTTCTCCACATCTCTACAAATTGAGGCATTTTCTCCATAGGAACGGTATTGTTTGCGACCTACCTACTCCCCCCTTGGTAAGCTAACCCGCGGAAAGCTCCGCAGAGCTGCTTCGCTCCGTGCGCTCGAGGCAGCTCCCTGCGGAGTGCTCTCCGCTCAGAGCTGTGAGCTCATCGTGGCGCTCCGCCGGGGGCTCTTGAGGTTGCTTCGAGGTTGCGCTCGCGCGCGGTCGAGGTTGCTTCGAGCCGAAAGCAGAAGAAGACGGGCCAGGATGGTACGGGGGCAAGACGTGCAATAAGGATCAAAAAGGATCATATGCCAGGGGTCACAAAGGGGTGGTGTTTGGTTCCTAAGTGAGTGGATAATGGGCACCCCTAACCTCCAATAGGCACCCCTTTGTGACTCCTGGTGCATGTGTCTTTTTAGAGACACATGTTCAGGTTGGTTCTTTCCTTGGAAGTCTCCACACTGTCCAGATTCCAGATGTGGACGCACTGTTTTTTCGGGGGTGCCTTCTTTTTCCTCATGGTTGTCGCCGGCTGGCCAGCTTAGGGATTTCAATTTAATACAAGCTGCAAGGCAGACCATCAGAAATGGACTTGAGCAGAAACAGTTTTCTTTTTTTTTCATTGACTGCCAGACTCTCTGCTTGTTTTTTTTGGCTTTGTGATTTGATTGACAGCTCCAAAGCAGGTGCAAGAAGTCAATCAACCCAGTCTGAGGCTTCTCAAGAAGCTGAGCGCTACCCCTCTTCCAACATTTTCTTTTTCTTCCTCCTCACTCAAGTGTTTCAGCAAAGAGCTTCAACTCCGGTGATTCAGTGACATTTAGTGCCTCCTGCCTTCCCATGCCAAGTGCATTTGCTCCTCACCGCAGCCAACTGCATCAACCAGTTGAGCCATGTCTTTGTTTCATCCTTCATGCACTCATCCCGCCAAATGCTTTGTTCTTGGCCATAACAATGACGACACACACACACACAGAGAACATGAAATACAGAGTTCCCCTAGTACAATGGAAGTACAATGGTAATGGTAGTGCAATGGTATTATGGTAGTATATCAAGTACCTCAGACATCCTCCAATTCTGACATCTTCCGAAGCTACCGATGAAGCGCCCCTCCTTTGGCACTGTGGAATGGTGCCCGGTGACGCCACAGTCCTTCTCGGTGCGCGGATTTGTGCGTGGGGTCGCGGGTCGGTAGTCCCTTTTTGGTTGAAGCGGTATATGTTTGCATGGGCTTTGCATGGGGTTTGCGCATGGGTCAAGGTCCACCTCAGTTTATTAGGCTTTTCTTCAGACCCAAAGATGACATGAATGCGCAACCTCTTGCGAAGGACTGGGTTTTTGAAGTTCCGCATGAATAGGGATTGGTCGAGACTTGTCGGGTTTCCCCAGAAAGAGGGGTTGAATGGATGGATTGGTGGTTGCTTTTGCGAGTGGATTCACCCCAGTCGTCCGGTCTCCCGGCCTCGGCCTCGCGCCTCGCCCGGTTTCAGCACTGCTAGCTATCTCATCCCGGTTTCGCTCTGTTTGGACACGGAACTGATGGAACCCATTCTGATGCATGTATATTGTTGCAACCACCCAAACATGCAAGGATTGCTGGGGGCCTTTCTTCGGCCTTGGCACGGCGGCCGAAAACCGAGCGAAGCGGCACGCGCGGAAGGTCTCGAGTACGATCAACCCACTGGCGCAGACCCAGGCGGCATCTCCGCAGAGCCAGTGGCACAAGTAGCAGAATGTTCAAAAAAGGGGGTATGATGTGAGCATGTGATCATGGCAACAGATACTCTGCACATCCAAGATCTTGTTGCCGAAGAAAAAGAACCCGAACTGCTTGGGCAAGTTGGATGCCGAAAAACCGCCCCGGCCCCGCCATGGCCACCTGTGGCCCTGTCAGATGAAAGGGAGATCCCTTTCCAACCCTCTGACCGTCAGATGAAAGGGAGCGTGTGATAGGCACAGACACCTGGGGGCCGGCTTTTTGGAGGCCTAGGCATCCCAAGGAGCTTTCGATCCTGGGGGCTGTGACTCAAACATTGAGACCTCACGAATGCGCCTCGAACATTGAGACGCCCAAAAGCTGGGGAGGTCTTTTGGCCATTTGGTTGGTTTCCTCCCTACGGGTGCGCATTTGTCCCTCCTCTACCTTTGCAAGGGTTCTTCCGGCTCTTTGTTCCTCCGTGCCAGGCTGCGCCCTTTTTTGAGATCAGCCGTTCCACCCTCTCTTCTCGCAGGGACGCCTGAGGGAAGCCATCGGCCAGTTTGGGCGGTGCACGTTGTTGGGGCTCACAAGATCTACTTGTAAGACCCTAGAAGTCCTTACTTAAAAAATGGTCTTTGGATGACCCCCAAAAGGACCTTCCTTTGCTTGACTCCTTTCGTTTTTTGGAACACCCCGTGTCTACTCCATCCAAGAAAGGCCCACCGGTTGGTTTGTGTAGGTGTGTACCATGCTGTTGGAACGCACCCCACCACTTGGCTGTTCACTTTTCTCAGTACCACGGCATCTTGAAGAGTCTAAAAAAGGTTTCTTGAGGTGGGGGGAACCGACAAGCAAATGGCAAAGCATGGGTCTTCCCAAGCGTACCAAATCCACGTCGGTTCGTTTCTTTGGCCCGGACGTGGCCAGACGCCCGCGACCGTCAGGCGGCGTCACGCCGGACACGACGGCGACGACGAGGTGCTGTCCAATGTGCCAGAAGTCGCTATCCTTGTGTGCCAGATGAGAGTACGTTTCCCACCTTTCTCTTCTTTTTTGCGCAGACTTGCAGATGTCTATCTTGGCTTTCAGACAGTGCGATGACAAGACCTTCATTGAAGTCCAAGGACCCCACTCCAGTACGTTGGAAGAAGCAAAACCCCCGAAACCACGATGCGGCAAGACGGCAACCTGTCTCCGTGTTCAGGGTTTTCAGAGTGCACAACATCTGGTTTTCAGAGTGCACGCCAGGTCCAGCAGTGCCTCACGTCCTTTCTCAGCCACGCAGGACCTGAACTGATCCGACCCAAACGACGAGACGACGAGCCGGACCTGTTTGGCTCGACCGAGGGCATCCGGACGAGCACAGAAGCGGAAGCGTCGGCCATTCCGTTAGTGACCCAAGGAATTCCCAGTGATATGAGCACACCAGTGGTGTATAACGGGGTGCTGTTGAGTCCCAGTGTAGGTAGTCCCCCAACCTCCACTCTCTTCAGCTCTTTGGAACTGGCGACTCGGCGACGTTTGACCTGGCGCGACTCGAGGAGTCGAAGATTTCTGCGAGGAAGAGCCCCAGGTTTTCAAGGACGAAAGCTGGGTCCAAAACGGCGGAGAAGGCGGTGTCTGGAGCTCCAGGCCAGGCAAGGCCAGGCTGCGGCCTTGGGAGACCCCACTTCAGATTTCTGGCTCAAGAAAGGACTTGGCATCTTCCAATCTGGTCAGATACGGCACCGGGATACGCATGGGGATGCGAAGCGATGCCGTGCGATGCCGTGGCGATGCCCTGCTCGGACCTCGCAGGACTCTGGCGATCCCAGGCTACACCGGGCACATCCCCAACAAAGATCTTGAGGCGAAAGTGCCTCCAGGGCCGGGGAGTTTGTGTTGTTTCTTCATGGCCATGCGCAACACACCGTCGAAACGAGACCGTGGGGACTGGGAGAGGATGCGAAAAAAGGGTGACACACACACACACAGCGCTGATCTTTGGCGGAGAGTGGATGGTGTTCTTCCATCACCCAAGCTGTGCATGGGAATGGAAGCACCTGGTTCAAGTTGCGGTCCCCTAAGAGGTGGATTCGAAAGGTCCAACTTTGAAAGGACAAAAAACACTCACGATCATCACATCTCAGCTGTTGGAGTAGTGAGGTGATGGTGATGATGGTGATGATGGTGATAGTCGAGTGCAGCCCACTGCCTTGAGGTGTGCGGTGGAACCTTCACTGTCGCGTCCATCGCTGCAGCAGCCATCGGCAGTAGGCGATGTGCTGGGAATGCTTCAAGTGGCTCTAGGGCAACGAAGACACAACAACATCAACAACCCACAGGTTGGGTCATTTTCACATATGTTCGTCCATCTTTGGACCATTGATGCTGCCAGTGGATTTGCCGCAAATACTTCGAGTGGATCTTTGATTTTTTCGTCCTCACCAGCGGCCGTTCAATGCGTCCCACATTCAACTTCACTGGTCCACCCAGCCCAGGCGCCAATATGACGACACAAAGCTGATGGATGGCCCGGCGTCACATGGGCGCCGTATGCGCGGGAGTTCGACCGGGGCAAACGGGCAAAAGCAGCTATTGCCCGGTGGGCAACGTTGGTCGGTTTTGAGCGACGTTGAAATGGTTGTTGTTGGCCATTGATTTTCCTACCCCTGGCTAAGAACCATCCCATGACTCAAGTGACTCATTTGGCTAAGAAGCGTGAGATCATACCATCCCATGACGACCCATTGAGGTTCCTCTCAGTCAGGGCGTGTGTGAACAGCAGCGCTTGACTCGCTGTGCCGGGATTCGCCGCCCGCGGCGGGTTTCAGGCGTCTTCTTCCGACGAAGTGTGTTCGCGCAGCGAAGGCGAAGTTCGTTTGATTTGATCGAGCTGCCACCAATTGAAGGAGTCAACAATCCAGAGGATGTGTTGGCGGTCATGTTCTCTTCACCCAGTTGAGTCAGAAGTCCTTCACATGAAACATGGCGGGGGAAAACCATGGGTTCTTCATGGTTCTTCGATGTTCTTCGTCATTTTTTCCTCTTCCAGGGTGGTGAGGCTGTGGGATCACCCTATTTCAACACACCCAAATGGAGCTTCACCGAGGCCGAACTCACTCCCCGCGCTTTGCGGATCAGTTGGGATCGCATGGGCGACATCTCAGGAGCCGTGGATGAGTGTCTTCATACGTACGGAACCGCGTGTCTTCATCGAAAGAGAGGAGATCTCCTCATGGACGCGGTGTTTTCCTTTGGATTGGCGGCATACAAGCGTTCCCCCAAAAGAAGACATCCTTCTTCAAATCATCTGGTGGATGTTTCGCCTGATCTCCATCCACCGCATCTTCTCCATCCTCGACCGACCCGCGATCCCCCCGACGCCGGGAACCAGTGGCTCCGTGAAGCTACCGAGGAGCTACCGACCCTGGGTGCGGCAGGCGGCTGGCGTCTCTCACAGCTTTGAGCGTCGCTTGAAACTCGAGAGCGCCCGGTGGATCTGAAGTGGTTGGGCTGGGAGGATCTGTTGGGCTGGATGCTTTTGAGCGGCTTGTGTTTCAAGCTGGTGGAGTGCGTGTGCTATGCTGTTGGTGGATCCGTTCGGAGCTTCTTCTTCATGTGCCGACATGTACGGTGAGTGAAAGCCACGGATACAACATGATACAACAGCTTTCAACGGTCACCGGACCCCTTCTGCTTCGCTGGGCAAGCCGTCGCAGCGACGGCTTTTAGGGGGCAACACCAAAAAGCCAAAAGCAAAGACATGGTCACCAATTACTCTGCCAGAGGCGAAGAGGAACACTTCAATTCACCCAAAATACTCACAATGCCAGAAAGCCGGCAGCCAGCTGGCAGTGTGACTTCGTTTCCCAGACCTTTTCTTGCATCGTCTCCCACCGTGCTAAGGATACAGCCGAGCGGCGGGTCGACCCGCCTGCTTCGCACGGTGAGGCCTCTGCCCTAAAACCCAAAGGTTCCAGTTCTTTGCAGATTATTGGCTCCGTTAGTAGCGTCCTTGTTCGTAGTAGTAAGGCCAGGAGCCCCGAACGTACCGTTCTTGCTCCTAGTAGCGATGCCAGGAGCGCCTAGTAGCTTCTTGTTGGCACGAAGTGTTCAAGTAGCATCATGTTTTGGGCCCGGCTCAAGCTGTTCATGCGCCGATTTCGGAGAACACCCAGGCGATGCTGAAGCTATTCATGTCAGCTGCCTGAGTGACGACGTCAGAAGCCGTTTCTTTTTTTGAAAGAGGCAGGCCTCGGACACACGGCAGGAATTTTAGGCTTTTTTCAGGCAGGCATGTTGGGTTTCGCGGCATGTTGGGGTATTTCCAAGCGCTCTTTTCGTGATTCCTGGTGGTCAGGTGGCCTCTTTTTTGGTCAAAAGGCAATTTCTTTACCTGAAAACCGATTCGACTTTCTTTCAAGGAGAGGGTGATAGACTAAACTTACATGGGTTACATGGGTCTGATTGTAATTTTTCTGTCATTTAAAGATAGGGATGTTTGACTTAAGTGAAGCATACCAGCATACCCTCAGCCCGGGTCCGACAGATTGGCAGAAAACCGATTCTCAGCAGTTGCGAGTCATGGAGTCCGCAAGTCACGCACTTCTGCTGCTCATGCTGTGAGTCCGCGAGTCTGGACGTGTTTTTTTTCGCGCGTTCACCCGCAACCGGGCGTTTCCCGGCGTTCACGGCCCTGTTCAGACCGGGCGGAGATCGTCGTTTCGTCCACCCGGGAAAAGAGAACCACACGGAACCCGGGCGAGCGGCATGGACCAGACTGGAAGACGTTCAGACTGACCCAGTGGTTGTGAGGTTCCATGTGGGTCCCTGACCCTGGGTGCAGCGGCGTTTGCAGCGGCGTTTGCTCGTCTGCCCCCAGGGTCAGACTTCCATGTAGGATGGACCTGTTGAGCTGCCGCTGCCGTGTTCAAGAGAATGTGACCCCACAAATCTCGTCTCTTTCGGCGCTTTTGTTTGGTGCACCATTGCAATTCCTTGAACTGCATGAATGCATGAATGCCCAGTACTGCGCAGAATGACTCCCACAAGCAGATCTCACAGAAATGATTCGCATGGCTGTTGCTCTTGGCAAAGATTGCCAAGTTGCGCTGTCGTCCCCCAAGCACCTGGAAGATTCATAGACTGCTTGGCCGAGTTGGTCAGATTTCAAAGCGGTCTTTGCAGAGATTTCAGATTTCGTGGGCGGAGAGTGACCTTTTTTTTGGGCCATGCATGAAGAGATGCGTGAAGACCAAAAGGCGCATTTTACGGCGATGTGGCGGCCTTGATACACCTGACCACATGTGACCACATGGGATGCTTTAAAACAACAAGACATGTGTTGAACATGTGACCACATCGTCTCCCATATGTGCTGGACAGCTTCGACCACCCGCTTTGGATCGGACCTCCAGTCCCTGCATCGGTTGGAGAGAGCTGAGGCTCGGCTCTGCTGACAGAGGGGCGAAGACTACATGCCAGGGACCCAGAGGTGGTTGCATGTGGTTGAACGAGGAAAGGTCGACCAATTTACTTTATTTATTTTTCTTATAATATGATATGATGTTGTTCCCCAATAGCCATGCTATGGGGTGCTGCAAAACTAATAGGCGGACGGGCGCCGTCGGGTCACCGTCAGAGCTGGTGGGCGGATGGTGTCCCGGTCATGTTTTGATGGCGTCCGGGTCATGTGATGCTGGTGTCCCGGTGTCCCGATCATGTTTTGATTGTGACCCAATCATGTTGTGATGGTGTCCCGGTCCTGTTTTGATGGTGTCCCGGTCATGTTTTGATGGTGTCCCGGTCATGT